GCACAGGGAGTGTTTGGGTTGCAAATGGTGAACACACTCACTTGGCTGCTAACCAGGGGCCCCTCGGAAGAAAATCCTGGCAATCTACTTCCCCAAACCAGCCACTGGCAGCCCTTTGGAGCAGTTACACCCCGACACACACAGGGCTGCCGGGAGAGGGAATCCTCTCGATGGCTACTGGCTCAGGGGCAGCATTAACTTGAAGCACGTTATGCGTGAAAAAAAGGGTTTGTGCTCAGAGAATGATCAATGGAACTAAGTGATTAAAGCAAACCTGGTTCGGTGAGAGGAGATGCCAGGGACACGAGAGGACTAACCTTTGTGTCACCTACTCCCCGGTCCCAATGTACAGAGGTGGAGGTCTTTGTCAACCGTGTAACTTCGTACCAGACATACTTTCCCAAATCCGCATGGAATGGAAAATGAGCTTCCTTCAAAGGTCACCAAGCGGGAGTGGTAGGGGGCGATGTACATACCTATGACTCATTTACCCTAAACTCACAGCAAATCTGTGAAGGAGAAATCCAAAAGAATAGAATAGAAAAGGCGGATGTTGGGGCTGTCTCTTTGATTCTAACTCCAAGAGACCCCCCCTGTGTGACAGAGTGGAACAGCCCCCCGGGGCTTTTCTTGTCTGTTACCTTCATGGGAGCAGGTCACTAAGTCTCTCTCCCACAACACCCCTGGTGGGCTTGAACTGGTAATGTTTGGGTTGGCAGCTCAGCATATAACTCTGGCACCACCAGAGTGCCTGAGAAAATAAGCCAGAGGATTTAACACACAACCCCGCCCCTGTGGAAAAGGGATTAAAATAGTCTTTTGTGGATGTTGTGTATGAACTCACACACACACACACACACACACACACACACACTGGCATTTCAAGTTTGCATGCACACAATTCCTCTTCACAACACCAAGGCTCCCTGCCTTCTCCATCAGCACCCTGGAAGAGCAGCACCTGACTTGCCTGGATCGCCTCTCCTGAAGGCCACTGAACCCCGCGAAGGACTGGCTTCTAATGATCCCATTGGGCCCTCCAGGTGAGAAGGACTGAGATCCTACCAACATGATTTCCGGGAGTCTGGCGGGTAGACCTGCAAGACAGTGGAGGGAGCATGGGGAGGTAAAGGCAGGTTCGGACAGAAAGCACAATAAGCTTGTCGATCGTGAAACAAGGGGACAGAGAGACGCAGGTGAAGTGAGTCGGGAGCCCATGAGATAGTGGGTGACATCTTTCCTCCGACGTGTTTCTCCCAAACCAAAGGGCTGAGCTCGCAGGTGAACCAAATACCCACTTTCCAAGATGCAATTAAATAGAAATTAAACAAAACGAGCCATCATTTCAGGTTTTCTGCAGGTATTTTTTTCTTTTTTGTAAATATGGTCCAGCTACATCTTCAGAAGACACCCTGGGCATGCGCTGGCTACACGTTGTGCTGCTAACCACAAGGTCAGCAGTTCAAAACCCCTAGTCAACTTCCGAACAGTTAGCCTCAGAAACCTGCAGGCGCAGTTCTACCTTGTCCGACAGGATCTCTGTGAGGCAGCATTGACTCATGGCAGTGGGGTTGTTTTGTTTATACCTTCAGAACTTAAGAACACTTTGAATGTTTACCCCCAGGCAACACCACCCACAAACCCAGAAACAGTTGGTGCACCCCAAGGTCCAGAGACGTCCTGAACCACATTCAGCACACAGTTGCCGGTCTGAAGGTGCAACTCTACCCGCCCAACCCTTAAGGCCAGAAACAGTAGGTGTGTTCAGGAATGAACTGACTTCCCCTGGTTCTCGCTCTTTTCTCTCTCCTCCAGTAGATTTTGAAAGCTAAGGTGGTGCCCCGTCTATTGTGGCCGTGCAAACGAAGAAGGGAGCCGGAACAAAAGCAGAGATAATCTAGGTTATGATAAGACGCGCCAGAGAAAACACACGCAGCCCCGGCCTTCACGTGCTTGCTTGCGTGTGGGGAAGAGTTACCACAACTAGCCAAGGCGCATTGTCCAAACGCCACTTCTGCTGGACCCAAGCCCAAGGTCGTTCCCCTGCAGGCCTGTCCTAGAACGGTTTGGTAATTCTATTCCCTCTTATGGGTCGGAAGCACGTACCAGGGTGTTAGCAGGTAACCTCAGCCAGGCTAGCAGGAGGATGGCGGAGGAAGCAGCTACTGTCCAGACGGA